CTTATGTTTTTATCAAGCCAAGCCTGCAACCAGCTCGAATACAAAGTTTGCAGCGATTGCCTATACTCATCAATGTATGGCATCACATCCTCTGATTGCTGGAGAATAGCGAACTGTGCTTGTCTGAAAGAAACGGGTCGTCTACTATGATAGATTTCTCCCCGATCATTTCTTTGCCACCTAGTCTTCCCTCCTGACGAGATTCTAGAACTCCGACCCTAATGATGTCCAAATAATATGTACAGAACTCAATGGCCTCCTCCGTTGACCATCCTTTAACCATGCCCCCTTCTAGCCTAAATCTGTTCCTAACATACCGTCTGAAAACTTTCATCAACCTTTCAAAAGCAAACATCTGATGTAGGTACATTAGTCCAAGGGCTCTAATTTGGTCAACAAGATGAACGAGCAGATGTACTGTGATATCAAACTAAGTCGGTGGAAAATACATCTCAAGCCTAACGAGAGTTTCGGCTATATCTAGCTGCAGCTGGTCCAGCGTGGACAAATGAATGACCTTTTTTGAGATCGCGTTGAAGAATGAGCACAACTTTATTATTGGGGCGCCGACCTTTGGGGGGAGAATACCATGCAGGGCAGCAGGGAGCAGCTGAGTCATAATGACATGACAGTCATGGGCCTTTATATTGCCATAGTTGAACTTGAGTTCTCTCATGTTCACTAGCCTCTTCGGGTTCGCACAGTAGCTCATCGGGACTTTGAGTTCATTGAAGAAAGAAATAAGCGCACGCTTTTCGTCCTTCTTCATGGTCCATGATGCAACCGGAAGTTCAAACTGGCCATCCTCTAGCGCCATGGGATGTAGCTCATTCCTTATTCCCAAGTGTTGCATGTCCAAGTGTATGGCTAGTGAATCCTTCAATGTCCCCCTAGTGTCCATCATGGTGTTAAGCGTGTTACCGCACATGTTTTTAGTAATGTGCATGGGATCAAAACAGTGGCGTACACTAAGCACTGGCCGGTAGGTAGTTTCCAAAAAACCATTTTTTTCTTCTAGACGCTCCCATCAGGCGCTGCTACTGCATTGTGCCCCTTCCCTAGGACAACCTCTAGTTTGTTGACTTCTTGAAGTATCGCATGCCCATCTCTATATTTTAGAGGTAAGCCTTTCTCTATAGTCCTATAAAAATCTTTTCTGTTCTAGCAGTAAGGGTGATCCTTAGGTAGGAACCTACGGTGTCTCATATAAACTATCTTTGAGTTCTTTGGCAGATGTACCGTATCGTTGTCGTCCAAGCACTTGACACATCCAGTATAGCCTTTTGTCTTCTCTTTGGACAAGCAACCTTGACCTAGCAGGTCAGTGATTGTAGCGATAAGTACTGCCTTGATCATGACATGTTCTTTTTTGTACTCGTCCCAAACATCCTCCACACCCTTTTCAAACATCTCCACCAGTTCATCGATCACTGGTTCCAGAAACACATCGATGTCATTCCCAGGTTGTCTTGGCCCTTGGATCAGTAGTGGCATCTAGATGTACGACTGCTTCATACAGAGCCAAGGTGGAAGGTTGTATGTACAGAGCGTCACTGGCCAGGTGTTATGATTACTTCTAACTTGGTCGAAAGGATTCATCCCATCTGTGCTCAAACCAAACCAAAGCTACCTTACCTCTCCACCGATGTTCTTATAGAACATAGTATTGGCTGTCCTCCAGTCCTTCCCATCGGCAGGGTGCCTCATCGTTGTATCTTTCTTACGTTCTTCGCCATGCTAGCGCAACAGCTTGGCTGACTTTGCATATGCAAATAGCTTATGCATCCGAGGAGCTATAGAGAAATACCAAATGACCTTCATGGGACCTCCTCTGGTCTTGGTACCCTCATCTAATGGCCCTTCCTTGTACCGTGGAGCTTCACACTTGGGGTACACATCCAAGTCTTTGTATTCATCACCACGGTATAATATGCAATCAATGGAACATGCGTGGATTTTTTAACCTCGAGGCCATTGGGGCAGATCATTTGCTTGGCCATGTATGTCTTTTCTGGCAAATCATTTTTTTCTAGGAGCTTTTTTCTTATTATATATAACAACTGATCGAAGCCTTTATCGATCAATCCGTTTGTCGATTTGAACTCTAACAGCATGATATTGGCTTCCAATTTACTCATTGGACAATTCTTATACAATGGTGTTTTGCCATCTTGTCTCATTTTCTTTAGCTTCTCAGCTGTCTTTCACTAAGACATCTGGTCTCTACATTACGTAGCAGCTGAGAAATGTCATCGTTATCCTCGATGTCATCAGCTAGCGTGTTCCTAAACACATCATTAACTATGGTCATAGGTTCCATGTTGACACCGGGTTCCTCGTTAGCATCGTGGATGGCTACGTTAGGCATGGCCACATCGTCGTCATTTTCCTGTGGAACATTCACACCAATCTCACCATGCATAGTCCATATCGTATAGTTTAGCATGAACCCCCTGATAATCAAGTGCATTCGTACAGACTCAATTTGAGCCCATTTCCTTTGATTCATGCAATCTTTGCATGGGCAGAAGACAGGGTTCCTATTCCCAGCATGGGCTTTGGCATCGGTGAGAAACTTGCCGACGCCAACCATGTACCGCTTGTCTGTTCGGGACCCATACATCCACTCTTGATCTATCTCTGCACAATAAAATATTGAGACAGTAATTGCAGAGAAATTAATAACAAGTGGAGCTTCATGAACAACAATTGTTGCTCGAAACAACAATTTATTCTAGACTTATTTAATTTAGTCACCCCATTTTTTGAAAACATTATTGTACAATAATTATTGGAATATTAAAATTCGTAGCCTCAGCCATATAAATTGAAAATAGTAGCACCATTAAAAAACAATTATTTCACAATAATAAAGAACAATTATTCTACTCTATGCTACATAAAAATGGAAACACTAATTAAAAAACACTAAAATTGGAGATATGATCATGAACAACGATGTAGCTCCAAACAATGTGTTGGTAGGTGGCACATGGATTAATTTGCTCACCAAAATTGTAAAAGAATCTACTCTACTCCTATCAAGAACTAATTATAGCATCACATACTAACAATGATCTTGTCCACCATGTAATTAGGTAGGAATTTAAATGTGTTCAAAGACACCAACTTTTGGATCATGAATTCACCACAATTTGCTTGCAAGCCTTGCACAAAGTCTAATTGGAAAAGTGGTCTCTAGAATAGAGAAAGAACTAGAATGAGAATCAAGCAATGTAGCCATCAAAACAACGCTAATTAAGCAACAAAATCAAAGGAGTGGATGTTTGTTACTAACCTTAAAGTAAGAAAATCAAGCCATTCTTCCAAATCCAAGAGCTAGCTTCATGGTGAAGAGCAGCCGCAACAATGGAGGGAGTGGTCCAAACGCGCGCCTCTGTGCTTAGGATGAAAGAGAGGAGGAAGGAGAGGACGGTGCTAGCTTTTTGTACTGTGATGTTATCACCGTCGGTTCTTGTCTAGAACCGACAGTGATAGCCCAACATCACTGACGTTTCTTGGATAGAACCGATAGTGGTAAGTAGACATCAAGCCACTACCGGTGCAAGCCACAAACCGTCAGTGATGTGGACCTTCACTGCCGGTTTTGGCCCAGCCCCAATCATTTTCTGATTTTCAAGCTCAGAACTAGCAGAGAAGGTACATCACTACCGGTTCATCCTAATCCGGCAGTGATGAGGCCGGCAGTGATGTCCAGATCTGTAGTAGTGTCAAATAACTTTATAGGCTAAGTAGGAGCTGCGTCCGGACACCTGCTGGGGCCGGACGTCCAGGCAGTAGCGTCTCGCTTATTGTTTACTCAAATATGCAAAAGACTTGTGCATCATTGTATTAAGAATTGAGCTATAAGAATTGTTCAAGTGTTTACAAGGGCACCCGTCACTGCCGCAGCGCAAAAGCTCTGAATCAATGGCACTGGCACGCCTACTGTACCCTGTCTTATTACTCACTGAACAAACAACTTAAGGGGGTGTTTGGTTTCTCCTCCTAATTTTTAGTCCCTATCACATTGGATGTTTGACACTAATTTTAAGTATTAAATATAGACTAATGACGAAACTAAATGCACAGATTGATACTAATTTGTGAGACGAATCTATTAAGCTTAATTAGTCTATGATTTGACAATGTTGTGTTACAGTAAACAGTGCTAATGACGGATTAATTAGGCTTAATAAATTCGTCTCGTGAATTACTGCAACTTCTGTAATTCGTTTTATTATTAATATCTGAATACTCGATGTGACACCTCTTAAACTTTAGTCCTTATATCCGAACACCCCCTAAGCTAGGGATCCCTCCCCACAACCATTGCTATGCCTCGTGCTTTATCACTCGGAGGAGTTGAGGGACCTGCGTTTGGACCTCCCGGAAGCAGCGTGGGCTCTATTTAGGCTTTGTTAGGATGCGTATGTATTTATTTCAATCCGCATGTGTGGAAGTGGATTGGAGTGGAATTAAACTAAAGACCCGTTTGGATCCCTGAAATTGAATTCATTCTAATAATTATATTTTAGACATAGATTAATTAAGCTAATATAGTTGTATATGGAATATATTTGTATATTTATTGTTAGGCACACAAGGGACATACTTATATATTGTATTTCTATTGTAGGAAAGTGACTTGAAGAGTGTCCTATAAGTTGGAAAGTAGAATTATAGCATAGTGATCTATAAAATTCATTTTCATCCACCACCCTATAAATTTGAGATAGACTTATTTGTGAGCTTTGAATGTCATGGAATGTCAAATTCCAAGTCAAATAGCCTAATTCATTAAGTAGATTTCAATTCCTCTAAAATGAAGGGATCCAAACGGCCCCTAAGTTTCATTTCAATCTGCTCTAAAACATTTCAACACATGTGGATTGAAGTGGATACACGTGTATCAAACAAAGCCTTAATTGTTTATTTACCAAAGAAAAGAAACATAGCCAGAGAAACAGCAGGCATGGTTTTGCACCTGTACCAAATGGCTAGAGGGACAGGATGTGGTTCACCAGCTTGTCGACGTTGAGGTCGGACGATCCGGCCTTGGCCACGCTCTCCGCCGCTCTTCTACTGAGCTCCCGTGCCCTCCCCCGCAGCTCGGTGCCGGTCTCGCTCTCGCCTGACCCCATCATCGTCGAGATAGCCGCCTCCACCTTGCCCCTCTCGAGCTCGCCGTCGAGCGAGAGTCCGGTCCGCCACACGTGATCCACGTACCTCGCGTTCCCCATCTGGTCGCCGAAGCACGGGTGGCACAGCATCGGCACGCCCGCGCACACGCCCTCCAGCGTTGAGTTCCAGCCGCAGTGCGTCCAGAACGCGCCCACGGCAGGGTGCGCCAGGACCTCCTCCTGCGGCGCCCAGCTCACCACCATGCCCCGCCCGCGCGTCTCCGCGTCGAAGCTGTCCGGCAGCTGCGGCGGCTGCTGCGTTGGCGGCGCTCCGCGGACGATGCCCGGCCGGAGCACCAAGAGGAACGGGCGGCCGCTGTTGGCGATGCCCCAGGCCGTCTCCGCGAGGTCCGAGGCGGACATGCTGGCGAGGCTGCCGAAGCTGACGTAAAGCACGGACGCAGGGCCCTGTGCGTCCAGCCAGTCCAGGCACCCTCGGTCCTGCTGCAGCAGGCTGCTCGAGGCTGCCGGCGAGTGCACGTGGAGCGGGCCGATGTCGAACACCGGGACGGCGAGGTCGCTCCGGAGCGACGCGAGCTCGTCGGCCTCCAGCGCGTCGAACGTGTTGATGATGAGTCCCGACGAGGTCTTCACCGCGCTCACCGCTCGGGAAATCACCTCCCGCATTAGACCGTGGGTGGCCCCGCTGGCGGCCGACGGCAGGTCCCGGACGCGGTACGGCGGCAGCTCCATCACCGGCATGTCCAGCTGCGACTCTGCCACTGGAGATTGGACACCTTGAGCGGACAGGTAGCCCTTGTCGCAGAGCATGGGGAACGCCATGAACCAGCGGAAGCACGCGGCGCTGCCGGTGCGAAGTGCGAGCGTGGGCACGCCCAGACCACGCGCCACGTCCATGAGCGTCAGCAGGTGCGCGTCGGCGACCAGGCACGCGACGTCCTCCTCCCGCGCGTGCTGCTGCTGCTGTTCCAGCAGCGCGGCCAGACGCTCCCTGAACGGCGCCTCGCACGCGCGGTTCAAGGCGAACATGTGCTCCACGGTTACCTGCACCGTGTCCGGGCTGTCCGCTGGCATCCCGTCGTCCTGGACGGGGACGAAGTCGTAGGCGGGGTGCTGGGACGCATCTGGCGCGTTGAAGTGGGTGTGGAAGACGGTGATGGCGAACCCACGCGCGTGGAGCAGGCCGGCGAGCTGGAACATGGGGTTGATGTGGCCCTGGTATGGAAGCGAGAAGAACAGCACGCGGCGGCGGCGGCGGGTGCGGGTGCCGGTGGCGGTGTGTCCTACGGATCCCATTTGATGGTTCTTGGACACCTCGTGGCCCTGTGGTTGTGAATTTGGCAGACGGAGCTGTGGTGGTCTAATTCTCGTAACTCGTATGAACTTGAGTAATGGAACAAGGAACAGCCGAAAGTTTGTTTTACAGGGAAAAATAATAGCCGCGAGAGTTCGGGACAACTATATACCATTAGAGCCAAGTTTAACAAGCCGGTAGCCAAGCCGGCCAGTTCGGCTGATATTAAAACCGGTTGATAAGTTGGTTGAAACTGATTTGCTGTGAGAGAAAAATACTATAGATTTTATCTGATAAGTCGGCTGATAAGTTCAAGCGAACAGAGACTAATCTTACGGACTAGTCATACAATAGTTCAGCTGTTTACATAAATTTTAACAACATTATTTATTATCTAAGAACCACAACATGTACATATGCGATACGCGGATTGTGAGGAGGTGATAGTGGCGGCCCACAATAATTGCATTCAAGATGTGAGGAGATGTGGTAGTGGCAAATACTGACGTGGAGGAGAGAACAAAAAGAGAGAAGGGAGCTGGGCTCCCGTGCAAGCACTGGGTACGGAAACATATGTATTAGTGGGGGCCAAGTAGCAAGTGTTGTGAGGAGGAATAGGAGAGAAACTTTTTTAATATAAATAGGAGACACTTATATAACTTTGCTCTTGTAACTTGACTTATAGCCAAGCAACTTGACTATATTATTGATCTTGCTCTAACGTCCATTTCCTTCTCTCTTCCACATATGATTTTGCTGACTTAGCTCCTATAAGACAACCTGAAGTGTATTGTTGTACTTGCTCTTATGGCATCCTTAATGGCAATTGGTAATTTACAAATTGCTAGCTAGACGAGGCATAAGTCATAAAAAAGAGTACTATAGTGGAGGTTTATATTATCTGTGAGAGACTTATTATTTGAGAGTAACTGGCTATTTGATCTCTTTTCTTCGTACCCAGTAAAATTCTTTCCAGACTATCTATTTGAGAACCATCGGTGATTTTTATAGACTCGACTCTTCCTTGGAAACAACGACGCACAGTTTTTCAAGAAACTGTAAAATGAGTTCGATTTGTCTCACTAGCTCCAATAACAGTGACTCAGTGACATACGCAGTGACCAGGCATGGGTGTATTTAGTGGCTGGACGAGAGCAAGGTGACCGGATCATTTTCCGTCGTCTATTAGTCGTCTTCTGGCTAGATTTGAGCTTTTCGTGAGTTTTTCTCAACTCTATCATCGCTTTCAGTGCCGGCGGGCTTGAGAACGGGGTGGGTGAAAAGGGAAGGCATTGGGCCACCTACACACCTGAAGTCTCCACGATGTTGGGTGCAGATGCAGCCAATGGCGGAGGCAGACGAGCTGCACTGGTGTGTTGTGCACTTTTACTCTACTAGACAAATGATGCTGTATTATTCACTGACCAGAATTTAGTTTTGTTAGGCTTATTTTTCTGTTATGTATGAATTTTAGGGATTCAACTAGTACGTAAGAGCATCTTCAAGAGTACATAATATTTTGTTCTTAAAAACATAAAGTTTTTCAACTCTAAAAAAGTACCGGGAGAAATAAAATAGTCAATCTCCAAGAGTTTCCAATAATTGACTTCCAAAAAATCAAAATTTGATCCTACGATACTTTTTTTTGCAGCACTTCTTTTTCGTGCAGCATCCTACGCCGCTCGTGCGAAACCCTTCGCGTCGCCACCTCCTTCCATGGTGCTCAGCAAGGAGCAACAACACACAATAGCCGAGCAACAACACACAAGCACTGAACAGCATGTGGCGGTGGACGCATGGTGCTCAGCAAGGAGCAACAACACACAATTGCCGAGCAATAGCACACGACAAGCATCAGTTTGGTCCAATCTTTTCAAAAATTAGGAGAGTGTTTTAGGTACTCTTGGAGATGCTTGAAGCCCGGTATCACAGTCTTGGCAACTTGTCCTTGCTCGCTATGTGCAACTGAGATAGATTGATGGCCTTGTGCGCATGAAGGTGACAATAGTACGGTACTTTTGCTGGTTAATTGGCACTCTATTTGCACGCATTGATATCAACAACCATGACTTTCTTGATATAGAAAAAACAGGGTGTTACATGTAGAGTTTTACTCATGGGCGGAGGCAGGTATATGGCTAGGTTTGGCAGCCGCCGTACCTAAAAACAGTACTCCCTCTGTTCTAAATTACAAGTCATTCTAAGAATTTTGGAGAGTCAAATCATCTCAAGTTCGACCAAAACTATAGAAAGAATTACAAAAATTTATGATATCAAATAGATATACTATGAAAATATAATTAATAATGAAGAACCTAATGATACTTAGTTAGTATCACAAATGTTATTATTTTATCATATAAATTTGGTTAAACTTAAGATGCTTTGACTCTCTAGGATTCTTGAAATGACTTATAATTTAGGATGGATTGGTAAAAAAGACAAGTATATATACTGTATATATAGGTCAATACATTATACTCTCTCCATCCCAGAAAGACGGTTGTTTTATGAATGAATCTAGACATGTGTTTATCCATATTCCTTTCTAAAATAACGGGTTTTTTGGGAAGGGGGAAATAAGTGCTCGCTTGCTGGGTCTGGTGGGCCTTATGGTAGCAAATCCAACGCAAGAAGCTAAGAGCATCTCCAAGAGTTTGTCAAATTTTACTTGGCAAATCTTATGATTTGCTAACTCCCAAAATTATATGCCAAGTAAAAAAACAATCCATCTCCAAGAGTTTTGCATTTTTGACTTGGTAAAATAAAAAAAACTCGTTAACAAAACGAAGAGGCCCGCTAAGCGAACGAAGAGCCCCGCTAAGCGAACAAAGAGCCCCGCTAAGAAACGAAGAGCCCCGGATGCCGAGCCGTATACACGCGCGTATATTTGCGCGCGCGGAGGGAAGATTTGCCAAGTTGCTATTGATGCCAAGTTGTTTTGCCAAACTGTTGGAGACTATTTTTTCTTATTTTGCCAAAATTATATAAATGCCAAGCTGAGATAGCAAACTCTTGGAGATGCTCTAATACGCATGGGCCTTTCTAAAATAACGGGTTTTATGAATGACGCGTCTGGGTTTTCTTTTCCATGATCAATCCGCTCCTCCACCTGTCCGTATTCTTGAATCCAATTAGAAGTATAGAATGACAGAAGCATGCAAAAGGCAGCGACCGACGAGTCGGACGCTGGCCTGTGGATGGGAGCCGCGCGAGTCCTAGTACAATTATACAATGACGGCACCAAAGATTCAAAAAAGAAGAGCAAAAACATAATAAAAGGTATTGTATAAGTTAGAATTGTAAATTGGATTATATTTTTATGTTAATTATTTTACCTAACATTGATACGTATTACACGGAGGTAATTTAAGTGGCATTCCTTTACTTTTGGATTTCTATTATATTTGCTAATCACAAAGTAATATTTAAAGGGGCAGACCCAGTGCCGGAGGCTCCCATATGAGTGGGGTCTGGGGAAGGAATAAACCGAGACAAGCCTTTCCCCTGTAAAATCTGCGGAGAGGCTGCTTTTTATATATGATTGATCTTTATAAACTTTGCCACACCTAAAAATCATTCCTGCCTCCACCGCTGGTTTTACCATATGTTGGGTTTGGGGATGAAAAGAGGATACGTTAGATCCAACCTTATCTTTAGGGGATAGCCAATAGCATGACGTTTTAACCAAGATTAATCTTACCATACTAAGGGCTTCTCCGAATCGTAGGAATTTCACAAGAACCATGTAGAAATTTTATAGACATTTATTTTTGTAGGAAAACACATAAATAAATAAAAAAGAAAAAAAATCCTTTGTTCCAAAAGTGGCCTAAAATGGAACCTCGATCGGTTTATCTAAAAATCTCGAACATGCTTCTTGGCATTGGGAGCGGAGCATAATTCAACACATTGATATGATAATATCAATTGCAGAGTTGATATTAGGCACTAGCTAAATGTTAGATTCAGATTCCTGACGGAGATTGCAAGTTGTTTGCAACATAATAGTATTTGTCTATTTGATAATTTGGCATGACAGTATTTTGCAGTTCACAGGGACGATATGTAATGGACTAGACAGTCTATGGACAAACTAGTAGCAGCAGATGCCTGCATCTTCAGATGGTAAGCTCTCCCCCTCATCTGAGCTGCATCGTCCCCAACCATCAGTTTGGTCACCGCCTTGGCGACCCTCCCCCTCTCAATCTCTTCCCCGACCTCCATCCCAACACCCCACCCATGCGTGACATATCTCGCATTCACCAGCTGGTCCGCGAAGCACGGCTGCACAAGCATGGGCACGCCTTCGCAGACGCTCTCCAACGTGGAGTTCCACCCGCAATGCGTCCAGAACGCAGCAATGGCTGCGTGCGCCAAGACCTCTCTTTGCGGTGCCCATGAGACAATCTTGCCCCTGCTCCTGATCTCCTTGCCGAACCCGTCCGGCAATGGTGGAACCTCCTCGCCGCCGCCGCCGCCGCCGCCGCTGACCAAGCCCGGCCGGACAACCCACAGGAACGGCACACCGCTGCCGGCCAACCCCCACGCCATCTCCTCGAACACGCCGCGGTCGACGCAGGCCACGCTGCCCAGGCTCACATACAGCACGGAGCGCGGCGGGCGCTCGTCCAGCCAAGCCAGGCAGCCGCGGTCGGGCGCGTGCAGGCTCTGCTCCGCCGGTGCCTGGGACAGCAAGTGCAGAGGCCCGACCGCGAACGCCGGACGGGATAGCTCGCGCTGGATCTTGACCAGCTCCGACGCCTCGATCCCCTCGAACGTGTTGATGACGATGCCGGACGCCGAGGCTCGGGTGGCGTCGGCGACGCTGCCGATGAAGCCGCATAGCGCGTCCGTGTCGCTGCCGTCGACGCGGATCAGGTCTCGCGCTCGGAGCGGCTCGAGGTCCGGCACCAGCTCCTCCAGCCTCTCCTCTGCAGGTAGTGAATCAGTGTGACATGTGCGTTCCAAGATCCATCCGATCCAGTGCGAGTTTGGTCTTGCTTTTACTTGCCTTTGACGTGAACGAAACCGGCGTCGCGCAGCCGTGGGTACGCGAGCATGCTGCGGAACGTGGCGGCGCTGTCCGTCCGCAGCGCGAGCGCGGGGACGCCCAGCTGGTGCGCCGCGCGCAGCGCCGAGTAGCACTGCCCGTCGACCACCGCGCACGCGACGTCCTGGTCTTGGCCACGGAGCAGCAGCGACGCGAGGGCCTCCCGGAAGGGCGCCTCGCAAGCGGCGTTCAGGGCCAGGAGCTGCGTGGCGATGTCGGCGCCGGGGGAGGTGACCTCGGCAGGGAACGACTCGTGGATGGGGACGAAGGTGAACTCGGCCGGGTGGCGCGTGGGGTCGGGGGCGTTGAAGCCGGTGTGGAGGACCGTCACGGCGAGGCCCCGCCCATGGAGCAGCGTGGCGAGCTGGAGCATAGGATTCATGTGGCCCTGGAACGGCAGCGGGAACAGCACGATTCTCCGCCGGCGTCGCTGCTCTTGTCCGGCCATCGGCGCTGTAGCCGTTAGAGCGTGCGGCGTGCTTGTTGCGATGAGAGGTCAAACAGATAGAGATGGAATTTGTCGGAATATGTGTGCCTCGATGCACAAAATGTGGCCATGTGAGTATGTGACGCAACCGATACAAGACTCGTCTGCTAGAAGCACACAGTCCCCGGGCTCCTGGCCGTAGGCCATGAGGGCGTGCCCAACGCAGTGATTGATGCATTCAGCTGGTGGCCTCGTCGTATAATGGCTTGCAGGGTAGCAGTAGTTTTTCAGTTTTTCTACAGGCTGTTGTAGCTCTAGAAGAGAGTCTGGTTCAATCAAAGAGCAAAAGTACAAGAATGAAACCAAACAACGGCAGTGAGGAGAAAGGGACACGGTATATTTAACTACTTGATTACTCACTCCATTTCAAATTATAAGAACATTTTACTTTTCTAGATAATTGCTTTTACTACATATATCTTATCTTACTATTACTAATTAGAGGCCTCAACGGAGGCATCACGTTAATTCTCACTAGACGCGCTAGAAAAAAAATAAATCCTAGAATTTCTCTTAATAATCAGAAACATCTAGTCTTTAATTTGGTAGACTCGAATCATCATCATCATCGATAATAGCCATTGGATCTGTTATAAATTTTAAAAAATTACTCACCTTTGTCATTATGAAAAATACATAAAATAACCTCTAATTTTACATCTAAATTACCCACCTTTACCATTACGCAACATAATTCAAAATAACCCAATATAACTCATTATCCGGTAAAAACTACTATTTTTTTGAGAGTTACAGGAAAAAACCATGATAGGACGTAACAATATTCACATTAGATATAGATTAAAAAATAGCCTAAAATCTCATTGACAGATAAAAACTAACTTATGCCGTACGAGAAAATCATTTATTTTAATAGGTGCAGAAAAAAATCTCGATACAATGTAACAACATTAATTCACAATCGTGACTCCGGTAAAAAACTACTAGTCGGTGTGAAATGTGACCAACAAGTAAATATTTATGATTTTATCGTGCGCTGTGATCGGACATGGCCTAGCATGCAATGACACATGATTTATACTGGTTCAGGCAACGTGCCCTATATCCAGTTTCAGTTGATCAGTGACTTTATTCCTGAGCCCAGGTGCTCGAAGTTTGCTGTGGTGTTACAAACGAGTAAGAAATGAGAAGGGAGTGTTAGAGGTCCGGTTGGACTCTGATCCAAGTGGAAGAGAGTGACTGATGTTCAAACGTGCGCTAAGTATTGGAGCGTATACTCTGTGTGTCCAAGGTTATCCGCTGTTGAGAGCGTATAGACTGTGTCCTTTTAGAAGACAGCACATCCCCTTTTATAGATGAAGGAGATGACCTTATAAGTCAAAGACGGAAAAGGAGAGAGTGTGTACGGGTGCTACCTAGTCTTGTCGCCCACGCGTCGGGTACGGTATGCCATCGCCCGCCATACTGTTTACACCGCCATCGCCACCTTACTGTTCATGACCTGTTGTAGCTGGCAGACTACACAGTGTTCGTCTAGGACGGCAAACGACGGCGCCCACAATACTGTTTGTGCTGTGACGTGTCTGGCAGGCTGTATAGTGTCCATCTGACATGCCCTGACGGCACCGTCCTGCAGGTGCGCAGGGCATGGTAGGGTACGGTCATCGGTATTGCGGTTGACTTGAGCGCCTTAACTTATCTGTTCCGCCTGCTCCCCGAGCCCACACCGAGCAGACGTCCTGGTCGGTTGTTCCTAGTCGGCCCCGACCGTATCGGTCGGGAAAGAGAGGCGAGCAAAGGTCTGGTATATCCTCGATCGGAGGAATAGGGTCGGAGTCGGACTACGGTCCCATAACGGCCAGGCCTTCCGATCGGGGCTTCGACCAGGCCTCCTGGCCGGAGGTGCCGATCGAGGACCGGATCGTGGTCTCGGCCTGTCATTGTGTATCTGGACCGGCCTAGACGCGCGCTGTCGCTGCTCCGCCTATTGGGCTAAGTATTGCAGAGAAGCGGGTCCATTTAGGACCCCGATTTTATGAACCCAACACTACTCTTTTTTGATAGGCAGGGGGAAAATCATGATACGATGTAACAACGTCCACAGTAGATAGATTAAAAAACAGCCTAAAATCTTATTGTCCAATAAAAAACAACTTATGTGGTATGGTGAAAATCATTTCAAAGAGGTACGGAAAAATCTCTATACAATGTAACAATGTTCACAATTGTGACTAATGAAATACGTAGTTCCGTTAGTTAATCTATTAGTAAAAAATAAATAGAAGGTTAATCTATTCATATAATCTATTAAAAAATAAATAGAAGGTTAATCTATTCATAAAACATCGGATATAATCTATCAACCCCAACAGATAAGATATACACATATGTTAGAATGCCGCTATATAAATAGCAAATTTTTATAATGTGCAGAAAGAAAAGGAGGTGAGATATAGCGGTCACCAGCTAAAATGTAGGACTGTGGGGTCCCTATGGCATCATTGTGTGATTTGTTGTTGCTATACATACCACAACATTCCTTCAGTTTTATGCAGAGAAATTAAAAAAAAATGGACGTTGCAATGAGACAACTCAAAAGGCAACATTGTACATGTTATCTATTAATTGCCATAAGACAACTCAAAATGCAACATTGTACATGTTGTCTATTAAGTTGTCTTCAAATTACATGATACTATGCGAAACGTTCTATGAAACAACATTAAATTGTACTTATCTTAAACAGGTCCGACGATCTAAAAACACGAGACAATTTTGTCAACCACACAGAACCAGGAATATATCTGTTGTGCGTCCGTCTTCCTGTTTTCATTATTTATCATTTGAAAGAATTGAAAATATAAATTCATGTCTAAATTATCACATTTGTCATTATAAAATATAATTCAAAATAAACATATGATTTTATATCTAAATTACCCACATCTATCGTATGAAAGACGATTTCCTAAATATATAACTGAACTATCCACCTCTACCATGAGGAAAGGTAATTCTATTTGAAATAATCTTTGAATAATTTTTTTGAAAATTATCCACATTTTGCAATAAGAAACTTGATGCAAAGTAACCCTTGTGCATTCCGATATATGTCGTTATCAAAGAGAATATAATGTAACACCATTTGATTTGTATCAATACTAATCCGCCTTGGCTGAAAATATAAATGTAATATATTATGAAAAATAATCTAATATCCATAAATTACTCTATGTATATATTTTTACATACTTCTACACTCTTATGTTAAAATTAATCACAATGATTCAATAAAAGTAAATACAATACATTTGGATAAATATTTATTTTATAGCTTATTTAACGTGGAAAATGGTCCCTTAACAAAATTACATACCAACTTTAGTTTTTATTAATACTCCATGATAATAAAATATATAAGTTGTTATTTCGAATAACTTTTTACCTTTTGACTTAAATACTATGTCATACCAATATTCATAGTTTAATTTTGAGCACTCTATATTTATATACTAAGGACACATAAATCTTTGATATATCAAATTTAATATTCTGAGTGTGTAGTGTAAGCTAGGGCCAAAAATATTTTTTAAATAAATTAAAAAGTGAAAATATTGAAGAAAATATACAATAAGCATTAGAGGTCTATCTTAACGTGTGGATAAAAAAACTACATCAACTAGATTAAAAGTTGAAACCTCAAATATTGCATGTTAAATAATTTGTGATTGTTAAATAATATAAGGTAACACAAGAATCTATATTTAAATTACCCAACATTAAAGCATTATCTAAAGTGAACCTAAATTTACATCTAATTTATCATAACCATCTAAATCTGCTTCTAAAATAGCACTTCTATCATTTTGTTTTTTTAAAAAACTAAAAGATACCCGTAAATCTACATGTAAGTTATTAACATCTTCTATTAAAAACATTAAAATAAACCATACTACACATTTATGTTTCTATGTTACCCTAATCTATTAATATTAATATATTAGAATTTGATTAAAGTAAATATACATATTGTGCCATCATACAGATTGAGTACACATGCATGTATTTGTGCCATCATACTAATGATACAAACATATTATTTATAAATATGTTAATAACAATGACATATAGTTCATATATGTGTTCACCATATTAGATATATTTATACATTTTAACTAAAATGTTATCCATATTGATAATATAACCGTTACTACACGTATAATTTCTCAATAAATAAATTCAAAGCTTCATAAGTGAGGAAGGTTAGTGCAGACCACATGTAACTATATCTTCGAGTCCTTTGGGATTACTTTAAAGTAAATAATCATTATAAGACTTACATGTTAATATTCCCTTTATGTAGCACCCCTACCCATAGGACATCTCACTTAGTCACTTTGAGCTTTACCATTGATTTTAAGTGATGTGAATGTTTAGATGACTATTTATGCCACTGGAATACTTAAGAGTGCCGTTTACAATTCAAAATCCTTATTTTAAATGTATAAAAAACTAAGGAGAGTTAAAAAAAGATATAATAAGAGTTTCAGCTTAATTTGAGAACAAAAGTTTAGAACAATCAATAAGAATTAAATTTTAAAATCAAAATTATAGATTTTTGGCATCAGAAATGGGCCACAACAAGACCATCATAGTTCAAACTAATATTTCAACTAAATACATATTGAAAATATATTGAGGAGCCATGAAAAGGACTAAAACTACATATATTGATGAAGAAACATATAGATTAATAAATGATATGTTTATCACCACAGGATAGAGACAACATAATATCTATTGTGTTAGAAAACAAACAAAATAAATAAAACGTGCAATTTAATATTAGTAATTTTTATTAGGAATAAATAATGCTTATGTCTTCTAAGATTCTGCCCGTGCGAGAGCACGGGTTGATGGACTAGTAGACATAATATATATCTAATTAGTAGTAAAAGTTATGTATCTATAAAAGCCAAAACGTATTATAATTCAGGCTT